AAATCATCTCACATGGTTTTGTTGAGGACTATCTTTTCATCCCTTTTCTTCTAGGAGAATAGATGTGGACTGTATACTGTTATTGTGCTGAATATTTAATTTAAGCCAGCCAGAAGGTGGGTGCAGAATACTTTTCTATTGCCAAAATCGGATGGTCCATGAAGCATGAGGCCATCAGGAATACTGTAGAACTATCACAGCCACTGACAGAGCTCCCAAATCTCAGTATTGAATGGCACCTTAGAACTCATCTAGTCCAACCTTCTCATTCTATTGATGATGGAGCTAAAATCTAGAAAGGTTAAATACTTTGTCAAGGTTAGATAGTTGGTAAGAGACAGAACCAAGACTATAGGAAGGCTCCTTCTTTTTTTCTTTGCCACTTTTGAGGGTTCTTTCATTATAAGAATGCCAACAGATGCTGTATCAGATGTGTAAAATCTATGCCAAACATAAAAGAACTTCAGAAAAATCCTTAGTGCTGGATACTTAAAATTATCAGGTAAAAGAGAGGGCAGGGTGTTGACTTTCTTGAAAGAATGCCACAAATTACTGTGTAGGAGAAGCCTATGGAGGCACCTAGGCAAACAAACACTTCCTTTTGTTCTCTAGGGAGTTGACTGGAATTCTCCCTGAGGGACTATGAACTAGGCTTAAGGAGACTTAACAAACATTAAGGGAAAATCCCTTCATATTTCAAGCTGCAGCTCAACTATCCAAATGAATAACATGCCATATAAGGTTCATGGGCATGTCTCTGTGTGTATTTGTTTTGTATCTGTGTGGACATATGTGCTTATGTTTCTATATGTTCATATGTGTGTACAAGCATGCCTGTCTGTACCACTGTGTGTGCAAACATGTGTCCTGCATGCATGTTCACGGGTGTGTGTGCATACTCAGGCCCCAGGCATGGCAAGTGAGTGCACTGTTCACACTGGGAGACCCCTGAGCTGATTTATCCCCTGGCACTGCCATTTACCAGCTTTGCTTCTTGAGCAAGTTATGCTTTTCTGAATCTCACTTCTCTTCTGTATAAAATGTGTAATACTATAAAACAAAAAGGGCGAGCAGTATTTTTAGTCACTTAGCCATTATAGCCATTAAGATAAATTAACTGCATTTACACAAAATTTGTTTATATTTTATTATAGGATCTTAAATATGATTTGCCTCCCAATTACGGTATCCAAGTGTATAGATAGCCTTCATGAAGATACATATTGTCTTGGTTAATCCACGGGTGAGGAGCAGTTATCTCCACTTTACATATGAGGGGATTGAGATTTAGAAGTGAATTAACTTTTCTAGAGTCACCAGAGAATCTTTGGAGGTCTGGGACACAAACCCACATCTGACTCCAAAGCTAGGCTTGCAGTCACTCTCCCCACCTTGCCACAGCCCAAGGCTATCATGAGGACCCAAAGTATGGTGGTCATGGGCTTGGCATTGGCACCCGGGTTCTCTCTACCCATCTCATGTTTGCCCTCTTCCTTGACACATGTCTTCCTCCTTTGAATCCTAGAAGGTTCACAGTTTCCTAAAGTCAACCCTCTCTCCTTCCCAGGTGGAGGTACTAGTTACAAGGAGGACTGGAGAACACTCAAACCGCACACACAGTGAATGCTAGCTTCCCTTGGAAGTGCATCTGCTGACACACCTTAAAAGCACCTTGCAAGTAGCCGACAGCCGCTTAACTGCCACATGCTAGTGCTCCTGCTATTCTACCCAGGGAGCGAGAGAAGGAGAACAGTTGGGACACAACTGTTTATCACCCTCCTAATTTCTGGAGTCTTATACATCCTTGAATTCTTCAAATATTGAACCATAAGAACTTGGTTCACAGAAATATTATGGTCACAGGAGGCCCAGATACTGAGCTATGAAATTCAGGGAAGGTAGGGGAACAAAAAGACTACCTGGGGGTTACCTTGAAACTAATTTAAATATAATTAGGGAGAAACAGAAGCAAAATTCTATTTACAAAATTATTACTTTTGTTTAGCAAGATATATAGACTCAATTTTGCACAGAAAATTGCATAGGAAAAAAAACCTCTCAGTAGAGCTGTTTAAAAGCAATTTAATATTTTTAATAAGCCAAATCTTTCTGATTCTCAACTATTTAGCCATGAAATCTTAAAACCCAATGAAACCCTGTTTTCAATAAATGCCACTTTACAAATTTTATTGTCCATTTAGCAACCTAAGAACATTAACATTCTTTAGACACTTAAATTTAATCATAATGACAAATATTAAGCCTTTTAACTGCCCTTCATGTTATTTACTGCCTATAAAATATGGGTTTGCTTTTCTGATATTTTGTGTCAAAATTGTAAATAAGGTCAATTTACCCAGCAGCCTGCAAATTTCTAAGCAATTTTGTCTTATTCCCAAGCAATCATTCGTAAACATAAAACACAATATATTATATGACAAATGAGAACACCTGAGAGGTTCTGCATCTCATTCATTAACAACAGTTCTTCAAAGGATTTAGGCAGGAGTTAGTCCCATGATAAGACTGCTGAAATCATGGCCCAAGAGAGGTGACAAGATCAGTGTCACTCAGTGAGTCAGAGATGGGAAGCAATTTTCCTCAGTTTGAAAATTCTCTGTGGTGGATCAGGGCCCTGAGCTAAGTCCCAAGCCATGGTGCCTCAATAAGACTCAGCTTCTTTCTCTAGAAGGTAAGGAAAATAGGAATACCTACCTCATGAGATTTTAAAGGATTTAATTCAGCATAATATAGGAAAGTATTTGCAAACCAGAATCTGTCCATTTTTAAGCTGTCCATTAGCTGCAGAATAGGTGTCTCTCTACACCTATTCTGACCAGGATCAAACTTTAGCCTTGTTTATGCCATCATCTCTCTCACTGTTGATAAAGCTGCCTTTCCCCACTGCCAGTAGGTCAAAAGAGTTTGCTCTAGTCTCAGAGGGTTACACAAATGTATGAATAAATCAACGCAAAACCACTCCATGCTAGAAAAGAAAATTTGTCATTAATGGGTCAATTGATGGTGTCTTTTTGGCCACTATCCAGTGCAGCCTCTCTATACACTTCTTGTCTCCCTCCACAGCTTTGCTGTTCTCCATGAGAAACTCACCATCATACATATTCTTTTATTTTCCTTATTTGTCTTATTTGCTCTTTCCTTTAGTAAGCTCCCCTCTGGCAGGGGTATTTGTCTATTTCACTCATGGTCATATCCCTTGTGCCAAGAATAATGATTGACATATAGAAAAATGATGAATAATGTCCATCTTGTGACCATTATATAAATGCTCATACATCTGCAGCCAAAGGAAACCTGGAAACTATTAGGAATGGTTCATTAAAGCTTATGTTGCTTTTAATGTTTCAATACTAGTATGTCAAAGCCCATAAAACAATTTGGTTATTTTTAATATTTTTTACGATGGGCCTCATCAGCAGTTGCTAAGCCATCACTGTCCTTTCAATTTTTTCTCTCTGTAAAGAGGGAGTATATAGTTCATGCCTCAGATACTAATCAGAATTATGGAAAAGTATAAGCCATATGAGGGGGTGCTGTAGACTGAATGGGCCCCCTGCCGCCACCCTAAGTCAGTAGGTGGAAACCTAGTCCCCTGTGTGGTGATAGTTGGAGGTGGGGCCTTTGGGAGGTGATTAGGTCACCAGGGCTTTGCTCAGTCTCATGATGGGATTAGTGTCCTTATAAAAGAGAGGCTGGAGAGCTCCCTTGCCCCTTCCCCCATGTGAGGACACAGTGATAAGGCAGCTCTCTGTGAACCGCGAAGTGAGCTCTCGCCAGACACCGGTCAGCCAGTGCCTTCAGCCGGGACTTCTCAGGCTCTAGAACTGTGAGAAATAAATGTCTGTTGTTTATAAGCCACCCAATCCGTGGTATTTTGTAATGGCAGCCCAAAACGACTAAGGGAGTTTCCCCCACCCCCAAGTAAATTCCACATCTACTCTCCTAAGCAATTACCCACCATTTAATGTTTATACATTTCCATTGTATACTCAGTGGCAAGAAACCAAAGTGTGATGATAAACAGCACTAATAATAAACAAGCACAAACATTTTACCACCCTCAGTTCCCACAGGACTTGGATCTGTCAAATTATTCTGTGGCAGATTGGAAAGAGGCGGCTGTGTTAGAAGTCATGGCCCGACTGTTAGTGATGCTGTTTCCATATTTTACAGCGGGAATCACTACTGGGAAAACTCTAGCTTTGTTCATTAGCTGCAATAGTAGGTGATGAGCCTGTGGGGGCCATTAAAGAGAAAGAACCAGTGCAGATGGAGCAGAAACACTGAGAAAAAAAAATCCCATAACAGTGTTTGTTGCTTTCATGAATCTTTAAGGGGGACTGTCCTCTATATGCACAGAAAGCAGACAAGGTTTGACAATGCAAGAAAGGCACACTTCTTTGTATATTTAATTCTCTCAGATCTCTGGCTCCTTGAATTTGAAGGAAAAAAAAGTGATTTTATAGGATTTTCCTGAATACAACTTAGCACTTTGCTTGTACAGGAAGAAACAGAATGTGATTCTATTTCTACTTCTAGAGCCACTGCAAACACTTATTATTTAGACGTTGTTGATGGGAGTGGAAAATGATGCGGATGGTAGTGGTGGGATGTCTCCATGTTACTGTGTCCCAACTATGATCTTGCGACTTCCTTTGCAACCATCCCTTGGCCACTTCTCCTGCTTTCAGGGGATTTCCAGACAAAGCCTTGTGATTGGCTATCTGTGAGTTAGAGAGACCCAAAAGGCTTTAGATTTATCTTGTCTACTTCTGAGAGACAGAGGCAATGTAGGTGGAGAAGCATGCCATTTATGGAGACATTTGTTTCATCTACAAAGTTTCAATTATTAGTCTCCAACATGGGCACATGTGCTACAAACACACTTATTTATCTTAATTTTATCGTGGAAGTTCTTTGGCGTTTTGACCTAGACCGAGTGGTAGGAGCAGGAAAAGTGTGCAGGGAAAGGCACTCACCAGCGCTGACAGTGATGGCTTCAATGAACTGCTCTCTCCAGCTGTTTGTTCCAACCACGAGCGCTAGGTTAGTCTTCTTAATAAGTTTGTCCACAGTACTCTAGAAAGGTTGAAAAGAAAATCTGTTGGAGTTGATTAAGGCCTCGGGAAACCTAAGACCTTGTTGAATCAGAAACCCTGGAGTTAACACACAGGGTAGCAGATGTTAGGCTCAGAACTACAGTATTGACATCCAACACTGTTCTGATGATGTAAACAAGCAGAGTCCTTATTTGGAAACACTGAAATGGAAACTTCTTTGTAGCAAATACAAGCATCCGTCCTTGCCTCAAGGCCAGTGAAGAATGGTCTCCGTGTTTAGACTAGCAGATGCTGCAAAAGCCCATCCAGTCCCCCTTGCATGCTTTATGAACTTGATCTACTGGTTTCATCTATAGTGCGCTGGCTGCAACTGAATTAATATATGCCCTGCTCAGCATTATATATCTGTGAACAACCAGAAATGGCAAATAGATTATGAATCTAAGAAGTGTTATTGTACTTTCGTTTATCAACAAAATGCAGCCAGACAGAAGAACTTCAAGGTTGCTGCTGCATGATCATCAATAAATGGATTTTTCTTTGGCTACTGATTTTGTCAGCCTGGTAGCTGCTCAAGAATTCACATTCACCCTACTCCTGTTGCAACCAAAAAAAGACAAGACAAGAAAAGGTCAATTCTGCATGGCTTAGGGCACATTGTAATTAACCTTGCACTAAATTTCCCCCTGCTTTAGCACTGAGCCTCTTATTTTTCTTTTTCTTTAGACCTTTTTAAAGCACTTGGTTTTCTACAATTAGCACTCTTTAGCTTTCAAAATGTCAGTTAATATAACAACAGGAGCAGCCAAGCATTCACAAGAAAACTAAGTAAGCAGATGCACCCAAAGCTCTAACACAAACCATAGCAGCTACAGAAGAAGGGTCACTTCCCAGGCATGAGACTGTTCTTCGTAGAGAAACTACCGCATTGACTAGTCTACCACACATCCACTTACTGTCAGAGCATCCTCGAACTCCCACTAATTGCAAAGAGGCAGAAAACACAAATTATTTATCTTAGATAAACATCTGTATATGTTTAATGCAGAGTTCCTCAGTTGACTATGGTTTGAGAGAAAGCATGTTATCATCTATCTGGGAATAAGGAAAATGCGATCTGTGGGACCTGTACATAAGGCCAAAGCTAAATCACAATGTCAGGTGTGTTCCGCAAGAACCGTCTGAACTGACCTGAAACACTAAGATGGTAGCAAACATGAACGGGCCCACTCTGTGACATCATTCTTTAGACTGTCTGCAGAGGGGTGACCTTTGGCCTCTGGCCTGTGTCTAGAACTGGTAACGGCGGTCACCATCAGTGCTCTCGGCCACTCTAACTTGAAGTACAGGACAAGAATCTTTTTTCTCTCAACTCAGGCCTCATCTCATCCAGGACTCTGAGTGTCTTGACTGCTGCCAATTCGAATTTCTGTGCAGACCATAACAAATGACCTTCAGATTGGGTAATGGGAACTTGGGGCAGGTCTCTCCCAAGGAGCCTTCTTTGTTCTGAAGCCAAGACTGGGGATCCTATCACCCGGGACACAAACAGCTGAGCAGATGAGAAGCACCCTAACAGGTGAACGCAGACTCGCCTTAAGAAATGTCTTTAAAGAACAGTGTTTTAAGATGAACTTAACTTATAGTTTATATATATATAAAACCCAGGGTAGACTTCAGTTCACATGAACCCCAAGGGACTGTGGGGAGCTGGGGTTCTAGCTAGGACTTAGTTTGCATATGCATCCTTCCTTGGCCTATGGGAGGAGTGGATAATGATGAATTTGAAGTTCAGACACCTGAATTTGGACATCCCCATCTATATTTGGAGGTTTCCTATACGCCAGTGATAACTCTTTACTGCATTAGACTTTAAGCGATTGTGAAAGCCTCGACCTTGGCAGTGGATGTTAGGAAAGCCCAGCATTAGTCACAATATAGCAAACAAAGAAATCACTGGGCAAAGCAGAGTGGGACATTGGGAGGTGTCATCTGGATTTGGGTTTCTAATGCAGTTCTAATAACTTGAAACAAATTCTTTAAAATAGCTATGGTCTAGAAAAAGAAATTTCTTAGAAGAATAATATCAAAATTGATACATGCGAGCATTTCAAAACATGCCCCCAAGGTACCCATTTAGTGTTAACAGTAACGACTGGTGAACTTTGAGAAGATGGGAGGATATAGTCTGTGCAAGCTGGTCTAGGAAGGTAAGGACCCCAAACAACTGGATTTATGTAAACAGACTTGAGAGACTTTCAAATGCTGAGATCAGTGGAGTGGTTACCAGAGAGAGCTGGGGACCCAAGAAAGCTTTGCTGCCTAGAAGCTTGTGCCAGCCATACCCAACGCTTCCTATAGGAAGTTCCTGTTGCACTTCTCAGTCATGGAACATGGAAGGGGAGGGTTGGGGGTTGTTCCCTAAAGGAGAGAACACACAATTATTTCCCTAGAGAGCCTGTGGGGGTGGGTAGGGGGTGGGAGGCAGGCTTGTACAGAAATGCCAAGGAGTGGGTCTCTGCTGCAGCAAATGGCACGAGGCCCTCTGATTCCGTGTGAAAGAAGGTGCCTACTGCAGAGTGCGGCTGGACACCAGTGGTCCATAGGAATGGACAGTCTGAGACACGTGCACCTCTGGCATTACAGGGAACTTTTGCACGCACCAATCTTGTGTATGCAATGAGGCAGGTTTCACATCACACGACGGTGGCCACTGGTAGGATATGCCTAGAAAGCCCTGGTCCCAGTGTTTGGCCTGCTCTTGCTTTTCATACAATGAATAAAAAGAGGGGTTAACACGTAGATTCAAAGTTGCCTGAAGGGGAGTTTAATTGCATTTTTATCTTTAAAAACTCCACTTTAACTGCAAAGGCGTTTTTCTTTCTACCTGTCTCCTATCAGGCACCTTAATTGGTGAACTAAATTAAAAAAAATAATTAATAGACCCAGCTAAAGGAAAAGAGGCCACTACTATGAAAACTCCAGATAAAATACTGAGGCTTCTAAGTCTATGGCCTGATTCTCCCTTTTGGAATCCTCATTCTGGTTTTCCAAATAGAAGCAGAAAAGTCTGCTTTTGAAAAATAAGTGAGGAAAACACGGCTATTCCCTGGTCTGTAGTTCTGGAATAACTTCAGAAAAATGACTTTAATCATCTGGAGACGTGGGAATCCAATTTTATCAGCTCAGTTGTAAACTCTGTGGTTCAGATGCTGTACCTTCAGTAGGCTGAGGGTGCTAAAATGACGTAGGACTGTAAGAGGATGACTGAGTGTAAGTGAGGACGTCAGTGGGGTGGATGCCACTGGGAGAGCTCACCATCCCTCCTTTAAGGCAAAGGCCTCCTAGTTTGCAGCAGCGTGAAGGCTTTGCTTCCAATAGAGTTGTTAGCTTTTTCAAGTACAGCTTTGTTTCTCCCACCCAACTATCTCTTGGAATCCACCCTTGCCTCCTCTTTCCTATCCTCTCTGACGGAGCCCTCCCGCTGGGGCACCGTGACCTGTGCCAGGACAAATGCCACCCACAGCCCCTGATGCTGTTTGGTTTGCGGGACCGCTTGGCTCCCTACTAACTAAGTCCAGTTCTTCCCTGAAAGCCTCTCCGCTAATTGGCCAGTTCCTGAAATTACATCTGGGTCTCTTCCCAGATGGATCTTACAATGTAAGATCTTACACTGTGAAGAGTCTTGGTCCCAAGATGGGCCTGGCCTGCCAGTGGGCAGTGTTGGTGAGCGCACCTTGAATTCATAGGATTCTTCAATGATCACTTCCAGCTTGGTGTGTTCTCCCAGAATGGGGCGCCCCATTTCTGCAATGCGCCTCTCCTCTTCCTCCTTGGTGGTCAGCGGCTGCTTGTCATCACATTCCTCTGCGAAAGGGAAAGGCAAGAAAATGAGCAATGTGTTCAATTTTATATGGAGATCTCTGGATCCTCCTCCAAGAAACCCAAGGAGGAAGGGAGCCCTAATGACCCACTGACAGTCCCTTGGTAGGATCGTAAGGCTGGAGGGGAGGGGTGGACAGATGCTTAGTGTGTCAGGCAGCGCATCACTCTGGCAGCAAGTGGTTATCATCTCTCATAACCTAAGCACAGGCCAAGTGTGGATCAGGAACAGCAAGTTATACATCACTGAGAAAGGCCCTGCCTGCACACTGTCTGTGTGAGGGAATCACCCAGCTGTCCGCTGTGATGCTGGCTCATCTGGCTGTTTCTACACATTCCTTTAGCCTGTGACCCAAAGGAAACACAGTTGAAAGTGCTCAAGTGACTCAAGGGATGGAGGAATCCAGCCGCCTCCTTTCCATTTTCTGGAAGCAACAGAAAATGCCCCAGAGCCAAAGAGATGGTGGAACGGAAATTCTGATCTTGCCCTCTTGCTTGCCAAGAGTTAAGTTACAAGTTTAGCAAAACATCCACTCTGTGTTTCAGTAAGATGCCTGGGCTCCAGGGCTTCCTCCCTCTGTGCAAAGCTGAGATGTGTTGGGAAGACCTGCACCATGTTAATCTTAAAGTAAACAGGGAGGGCGAGCTGAGGCCCTTGGGGAGTTCATACTACTCACCATGTGAGCCTGATTATTTCCAGAACCACCGCATAGCTTACACTCCAGGAGAGGCTAGCGGGTGCTGAGAGTCCATTAAAGAGGGGAAGCTCACAGTTGGCTCCTCTCTGCATGAAGGTCATTAGGAAAAATCCCAGACTGAAAAGGCCATGCATGAAGGGAGGACAAAACACTATTCCTGTACCACTCAGTCCCCCTATCCTTCAGGTCCAGGGTGCTGGAAAAGACAAGCCACTTCCCCTCAGAGTCAAGTTGAATGAACCTCATCTCCAAGGAAGTCGTATCAATGGCATAGAAAGACCTCAGCACTGATACCCTTGCTTCTACAACTTTTCAGGCCAACTGTGTGCATTTAGAGTATGTTGACTGAGGAGACATCAGGAAAAGAGAGTCTACAGGCCCAGGCTTCTTGCCTATTGCATTTAGGCATCAGCTTCTGCAGGAGTCCACACCTCTCTTTTCCTCCAAGGATACATGGCCTATCTTTACTTAGGGACCCTGCCGTGGTGCTCCATTCTATGCTCTAGCAAAAGTGGCAGAGAATAGGTACCCAGGCCAGCCCTTCTCTGCTAGGACAGGGAGTGGATGGGCTAGAGGTGCTGCACTTTATGTACCAGACATCAGAACCAACCGAAGGCAAAAGCAGAATGGAATAGTCAATTAATTTTTTTGTATGTTTTTAACAGTGTCTTCCTAAAAGAATTAATTTAGAATCTTCTTTCCTAACTGCACTAATTCCAGGGTCCCATAGAAATTAGATGAAGACTAAAAGTAAGTGATTTTAGACTGGCCACAAACTGCTGAATGTTAGCAGATGAAGAGGAGAGGTATAAAGAGATTAATTTTAACTGCACAAGTGGTAATATTTTTCATAGTAGGCTTGGAAGCTGTGACTCAAGGGAAGGCAGGGGGTTCTGATTGGCATCCCCAACATCTGCCCTTGAAATTGTGTGTGTGGTCAAGGGAGTGGGCTGAGATATGTGAACTCCAATTTACCCAGGGCTCAAATCCGTCAATTTCAATTCCCACTGCTTTTTGATTCTTAAACCAAGGACAATGTTATTGGTAGCTTTCACAGCAGCAGTTTATATTAGCCTGTTTGTTCAAAATGTTGGTTGAACATGGATGTCTTGGAGACTTCCATCAAATAGGAATACCTTTTCCTAAAGAAAAACTGTTGCAACTTGGATTTTTATTTGCATTGCAAAGCCATTGGGGGAGAATTTATTACAGTTCTCTTTTCTGTAATTTACTTACAAAGGATAGTTGCTTTTAATGAAATTCAAAGCAATTTAGGTAGGGACAAAAATAGAGAAATTACAAAAGAAAGGTGACACAGTGGCATTTTTTGGTGCTTCATTTCATAAAGTAGAATGGTTTGGGACATGGTATTAAATAAATGGACACAGTAGTAAAAGAAGTCAGATCACACAGTAAGTGAAAGATTATTCCTTTTTAAATCATCCTTCAGGCCTTTTGATCAAGAAGAAATGTCTAGTTTGATGCTGTTGTGCCCATAACTATGTGTTCCTGACATCTGGGTTTCTACCATTTTGGAAAGGGAAAGCAGTTTTTAGGCATAGAACATTCTAGTATCTTGCTAGAATTTAATAACTCTTTTCCATTTAAAAAAACCTTATTTTCTATTAATAACATATCCTACTGGTTTCCATGTGTGTTAGCGACTTAGTTTTCTTTTACAGACAAATCTAGAAGAGCAAAAACATGAGGCAATTTCAAAAAGTTACATGAAGTAAACAATAGTGCAGTTGGTTGGCAGCCAAAGCTAATATTGTAAAAGAAGTAGAAGAATGACCAAATTTTAGGAAATACTGTCTTAGCAGATTTCAGTATAACCTAAGTAAAAGCTGAGTACCTTGCTTCTATCACATTCTGCACTGTTGTTCAAAACTCACCTTGAATTTTATGCCACACTTTTATCTCATTGTCTGCCCAGCCAGACAAGTATCCCTATGGCCATCTAGCTAAATCCTACTTATCTTTCAAAACCCCACCTCTTCTTGCATGAACTATGCCCCAATTGACCAATTTAGGAACTAGCTCTCTAACCTTATATTCATTTCTTAGTATTTGTGTGTGTGGTGAACATGGACACCTCTAAAATACTATTTTTTTTAAATTTTAAATTGCTTTACATACAAATATATACAGAATGTACATTTACTAATAGAATATGTACCATTGCTGTTTGAATCCTTACATACCCCAGAATTTATTATACAGAATGTAGTAAGTAGCCAATAAATATTTGTTGTGTGACTCTCCAAGTCACTGTTAGAAATGCCTCTTGTTTGCTCTGTGCATAAACAGATCATCTGTTCCTTCAACACATCATTAAACTACTACAACGTCTGCACACTGCAGCTGTAAACCCCCACCTCCTACCCCTGCCACCTTCCGGGAGCTCATGGTCTAGTGGGAAGTAAGGCATATAGACAGGACAACTTCAGATCTAGCAAGGCAAGGACTGAGGGACCAGGTCTGGGGGAGCAGCTCACTCTGCCTGAGGGAGTTAGATAAGGCTTCGGGGAAGAGGTGACATTTGAGACTGGCCTTGATGCATGTACAGAAGCTTACCAGGTGATAGCAGTGGTAAGGATGGCCAAAAAGAGGTAGAGTAAAGAGGGGCGCCTCAGGCAGGGGAAATCAAAGCACAAAGGCATGATGTCATGGAAGGGTCAGAGCTAGTTTTACTTACTAAGTGTCATAAACTTTTAGGCGATAATTGTACATAACTGAGAGAAGGCAGCTGGATGAATCCTATTATTACTCTACGGTGATGCTGATAAATATTTGCATTTATGGTCCAGGTTTTTGACACTGGCAAAGAGAGTTGAGTCTAGTTTTTATAAAGTGTTTTCTCTTTATGTACCATTTACTGAATTTGGAAATAGTTTCACAGTATTTTTTTTTTTGGATCATCTATTACATTTGTCTCCTTTTCACTTTGAGCCCTGGATCAAATACAGTCCAATTTACTATGGTCGAATCAGTTTCACTTCCTTACTTTTGCACAGTGATAATGTGCTGGGTTTTAGTTTTGCTTCTCAGAGAAAACTCAGTCTCTCTCTGTCTCTACATATGTACACATATATGTATATTTTTTAAACTCACCATATTTTATTGAGAACTTGATAATAAAGTATGGTTTTAACCAACACAAAGATTGAATGTATAATTAATAGTCACCATTAAAATCAGTATTGACAGGACATAAGACAATCCTGTGATCAAATCACCTCCTTTCCCCTGAGTAATTGATCGTGCAAATAACAAATAATAAAAGCTAATAATTGCCTGGGATCTTGGAAAAGCAGAATTATGAAAAATCTGCTGTAAATGCTTTCCGGCTCTGGCTGCATTTTGAAGCAGTGAGAGTGGGAATCCCTATGAGCAAATGAACAACCCACAGAGAGATCTGTACCTGAGGAGCTACTATTTATATTCTTTTGCATTGTGATTTTTAATCTTAACATCAGTGTAGAATTTAGAAAGAGGAACAGGCCTGGGGTGGGGCAATTTGCTCGAGGTTATTTTGATCCTTCAGATCTATGCTGACGTATCTGAGAGCAGAGAGATTCCTTGACAGTTTCAGCACCAGGGTGGCCTCTCTGAGTAGAGCCTAAAGAGACAGGTACTCTTACTTCCGTGAAAATATTCTAAAACAAATCTGTATCAGGGCAAGGTATCATGATTATTGAATGGGAGTGTGGGATATGAGAATGAAGAAAGCCCTACTGGGTTAGGCAGAAGTGTTTGTACCACCATGGCCAGTGATGGATCTTGGTGCCAACTGAAGAAGGAACATCACTGTCTTCAATCAGAGACTGATGCCCGGGCTTCAGTCCACAGTCCATCTGGGATAGTTGTGTAATCCTTTTATCAGTCCATCAGTGTTCCCCTCTGGAGAAACCCCAAAGATGCACTCTCTGTGCATATAAGGCTTATGTTGCCTGGAGGCAGGAAAAGCAGGCTCTGGGAAGAAATAGGGCTTGCTTTCAAAGAAACTTCATTATACTTGGGAGGAAAGACCCACATTTGAAAGGCAACATTTGCAAGCCATCTGGAATATACTGAAGCTTGGAGGGGAAAGGCCAATGGGATCAGTCTTCTCTGCAGGTCTATGCTGCTCCCCTTGTCGTGCCTCCTGTCCTGTACTGATGTGGCTGCGTGTTTTGACAACATCCCCAGCTGCAGAGAAGCCACAGCATTATTCACCAGTGTTTTAGAGAGGATGGGCTAAACTGTATTACTTTAAAGTTCAAAGATCTCAAGAACACTTGAAGACAGTTAACTTCAAGTTAATTAAACTATGGTTTTCAAGGACCACGATGAAATGAGTACCTGCAATGGTGATTACAGTAGAGGGAATCGGGTGTTCTCTAGCATGAACCTTCCTGAAGACAGGTTGGCCTAGCAAAAGGACAGGCAGAAAATCAACAAAACAGGTCGCACTGGTTTGTCAGCAGAGCTTTCTGGAGTTAGTAGGCTAAACATCACATCCAGGTGCATACAATCACAAGCAGTGTTAGTTTGGGGATTGAGTGGCTATAGGTTACTCCCATATAGGTTGCAGAAATGAGCAGGTTAGTGGGGTAAGTGTTGTACAAACTAAATCAGATTGTGAGAATGAATCACACACCCACAATAGAGGATGCAGCCAGATTCCTGCAGGTGCCTGGAATGGAGTATCCATGTCACCCTGTGTTCAGAGGCACCGTGAAACAATGGACAGCAGTGGTGTGATGACAGGCAGCCTGGCTTGGAAGCCTGTTGGTGCCAGCAACAGAGCCTTGCACAGGCCATTTCCCCATTTTTACCACATGTGAAATGGGGATAATAGTACCTGCTCTCTCCACATCACAGGTTTGTTCAAGCATTAAGTAACATAACATCTGGGAACATGCTTTTTATTTTGTGAACATTCTGTTTGGGAGGATGTTGCACACACTGGCAGGCCTGGGAGGATATGCTGTCATCACAGCGACTGGATTGCTAGGGTTTTCATTAAATTTCTGGTTCAAATGACTGCCAGATCCACCCCCTGTTGGCTTCTACCAAGAGCTACCCAGAACTGACCCGGGAAACATACTGGGGCCTGGTGCCAACTCTGCCATATGTTTGCCATCTAAACTTGGGTATGGCATTTCTTTTCCCTGAGACTCAGTTTTCTGAATTGTAAAAGGAAGCTGAACTTGGAGAGGATTTGTTCCTCTTCAGTGATTAAAGTGTTTTTACCTATCAGGATTTTTATAGTTTGGCTTCCTTAAAAAGCCATATGCCTTCCTAAGTCCATTACATGATGAGCATAGCATGATTGGAAGAGTAACTTTTAAAAAGGTAAATTGACTGTAATATAGTTTTAATTAATTAGGGAACTCTATAGTTGCTTGTTTGGGGAATCCAACATGCGCTTCTCCAAATTGAGCCCAAATACTTATTTCTATAAAAAATATCCAAATTAATGTTCTCTAGTTTTCCCCTTTTGGGGTCCCCCTCATATTTCATTTGATAGTAATTCATAGTGATGGCATTTATGAGACATAGCTGAGCTTTGGATTGAAAAGGGGTTAAGATGCAGGCAGGAATGAAGAGGATGGGAGGGAGGAAAGTTAAGCGCTGGGGTTAGAACAGTCATCACGCAGCCTTGGACCTACAGGGCCACGTTCTGAGTCCTGCATGGGTGATTTGGGCTAGACTGATTCATCTCTTTGAACCTTCATTTTCTCTCCTATAAATGAGAACAATGAAATCTCACTCCACGAGGTTGAGGATTTAATGGTGTAATGAATAAGAAATGCTTTGCCAACACTAATGAGCTATTATGTATAAGGGTTATCATGTTATGTGCCTGGAGGGTCAAGGGGGAATGAGATTATAGACCCAAACAAGCGCTGTGAGAGACAAGGTCTAGGAGAAACAGGTAAAGATTTGCAAATTCCAAAAAACACCTCCTGCATTTAATGTCCACTATTAATGTGATCTCTAAAGTACAGGTCTTGGGCTGTGGACCAAACGACTTTTAAATTTCTGTACATCCTACTTCAAATTTAGATTTTCACACTCAGGTGCACAAGATTGCATAAAAGCTGCAAGCAAGTCCAAGGGCAGATTAATTCTTCTCTACTGAACGTACATCTCAAAGCCTTGACTTCAAAGCCTCAAAATGACTTCAAAGAGAAGCTCTTTAGGGCTTACAGCTGCTTTTCACTGTGTACCTAAGTTTTAGAACTTTACCCAGGTGCATCTATAGAGACTGAATCCCAGGCATTCTTCCCTGCTTCAGGAGCAAAGGGCCATGTAAAATGAGAGGAGTTAAGCCAACGGAGTGATGTCCAGAGAGTGTGGGAACCTTCTCTTGTTCTAATTGCATCAATTTCAAATCTTGGAAAGAGATGCTAACAATAGGAAACCTGTTTCAGCCATAAGAAAGAACTTAATGAACTAATGAAATGATAGAAACCTTTCGAAGAAGTGGTTCTGTCCCTCTTGTATGCAAGATGTGTCCAAGGCAGGAAATGTTGGACCTTATTGAACAGATACGCTAGAATGTGTTATGAATGATTCCTGAGAAAAGAAAACTAGGATCTCATTACCTAAATACTAAAAGGGAAGCTGCTTTAAGTGATGTAGAAAGGAAGTCCTAAAGCCAAAACCCTGACATACTCAAAAAAAAAGAAAATGGGAAGATATCCAAACATATCAATGCATTTTAACAAGCCATTTACAGCCAAAGATTTTTAGTTAAGGTCTCATGATCCGGCTGCATAGGGCTGAAGGCACAGCTAGATACCACACTACTTCCACATTGGTTGACTTTTTTTTTTTTTAATTCAAGGAAGCCATGAAGGCTGCCTTGCTAAATTTCTACCTTTCTCAAACCTCACAAGGATGACTGACTGACTGGGTGACAGAATCAGAATATTTCCAAGAAGGCTTCAATGAGTTAAAATGATGGAATGAGAAAAGATTAAAGTTTTAAATGTAAATTCCCACACTTGGATTAAAAAAACAGCATATTTTGACAGGGCAGACATGGAAAGACTTGACCTGGGAGAGTTTCAGATGAATCAGATTTAAGAAATCCTCTGTGAGGACTTGTCTTGTTTAACATTTTTATCCTTTGCAATTTCTGTGTCTCTGAGAGTCTTGGATCATTTTGTCATTAAATCCTTGTCTAGAGAGAAGCAGTGGAGAACAATAGCCTGTGTGAAACTGCTCCTATTCAGAAGGTTCCACTTTGGACAGAATCATGTTAGAACTACTTGATCATGAGTTAATATCAACAGGGTTTAAGTTAACTCCAACCCCCACCACAGCATTTTCAAAATTAGAATTTTGGGGAGTGTTGCCTTTCTAAATATTTCTATATAGCTACATGATTTTAGAAAAATAATTAGAATATTGATATCTGTACCATAAAATGGAAAATGCCCATCATTCAGATGACCTTTAGAGACATACATCTTAAACCTGCAGCTTCAGACAGATCAGACCTACTGTTTGATATTTTTTCTCCTCCTCTAAATCTGCATAGATGAGTCTGAGGATGAGAAAATATTTAGGGTCAAAATATAGGATGCTATAAGGAAATATCTTCCTACTGTACAGAAGAAAATAGCTATAGAGTTGTGCTCAATAATGCGATCAACACAGACTGGGTACTATTCTGAATTGAAGGGTTCTACATTTTCGATGTAGAAGCACTTTATAATGTACTTCGAGTGGCAGAAACACTACTGATGACCATGTTAATAATGCTAAAACCTAAGGCCCCAAAGAGGAGCTTGGCTTGGCCTGGTGGGATGAGATGAGGGGCTGCTCTGTCCTCTCAGGCATGGCATTATCTATTATTTAGAGCCTGAGCTTGGGTCCTGAAGCAGTCTTGGATGTCACTATGGTTCCTTGAGGCCAGAAATCATCTTATTTGTTGTGGTATTCTTGGGACACCTGGCACAGGACACTGGCCATCACCAGTGCCATGCAAGCATTTATCAGGTGACCCGTATTAGAATGTGGGCAGCCACAGGTCCTCCATACAAATTTGCTTAAAGGTAAACACAACACACACATTGTTAGTGCATAAAATGTAAATGTGTAAAATAACAAGAGCACACCCTATGCCGTGGCTAAACGTGAGTACAGGTTATGTAAGAAGTGGTGTGGGTTTGTTTTTTAAGAATGTTTGCAGGATAATGAGGAACATTAAAAAATTGTCTTACCATACAGGTATTTTCCTTCATTAAAAGCAAATAAAAATGAGAAATGATTTTTTAAAATGTAAACAGCATATGGTAAGAACAGACAGTAAAAATACAATTTGATGTCATTTGACTTTAAAAATCCATACCTGTTATTGTGAAGCCACCTAAAAAAGAAAAAAATAAATAAGCGTTATAATTTATTTAACTCATGCTTGAAATAACAAATACCAGTGACACTGGACTGCCTGAAAACCTATCCACAGTACCAAAACTTGCTAAATTATATTTACAATTAAAGAAAAATATGAAAACATCTGTTTATGACTTAATCATTAATCATTCTTTTAAGATTATGGTCTTTAGTGCACAAATTTAATTCTTGTGCATACCTAAGAAATCACTGATTTTTTAAAAGGTTTTAACTACACTAAAAATGGAATACAATCTATCTGACCTTAACAAAAAATGAGGTCCATAGCCCTAAACAACAATCTTGCCAGTAAATCAATATAAATAAATAGTAAAGTCAGAAAGCTACCATATCATCTAACAGAAATGGAAAATAACTTAGAAAAATGGAAAGGAAATGCAAGAAATGAAATGCTTACCAAGCTCATTCAATAACAGGGCTGTGAAGGAAACAGACAAAGACAAACACAGAATAAGAGACCAGATGAATAATGAAAGTAAGAGGAATATCAGCAGAAAGAAATCCAGGCAGATCTGATTACAGTGGGAGGAGCCAGTGCTAAAATATTGGTACACCCCAAAGAAAGGTGGCACTGGGAATTTTCCCAAGTAAGCAAGCCCAACACCAATTTCTGCAAATGTGTGTGATTGATTATATGTAAATACAGTTCACTTTAAGTATTATTTCTTGACATTTAATAAGACATTTCTACTATATATGTTTACACATGGTGTATATAGATCTAGTTTACCAAATATAGTAGAAACATTTTATGACGTTAATCCTTAACTTTATTGAGTGAGTCTTCCTTGTTGAATAGACCTGGGAGTTAGTTAATTCAACATTTGGACATCTCAGATCATCCAGGATCTCTCAGGTATTATACCTTTCATTTTATGAAAACAGATAAAACATCTTAGGAATTCTATTTTGGCCGCCCTATCTGGTAGGAGATGTTAGCTCAAGGTAAAGCTCTCTCTCTCTCTTTGGAGGGTCTCTTTGCATGATATTTTGTCGTTAAGCTTGTGGTTTTTAAACCCTTGAAACTTGAGTCCCAGGAATTGGAGCTTATTTGTATGTCCTTATCTGTGACTTCTGCACGTTGTAACTGGACAACCATCATGCTTCCTGTGGACACATAATTCAATGGAAACTGACAGGGCAGGGATGGTCCGGGGACATACATAATTTGTCTTTCTTAAACACTGACTATACTGTAGCACTCTCTTTTTTGGTGACAAGAGTACACTTGGCAGATGTGAAACCTGGGTAGTGCTATCAAGGAATTTTAATTTGCTTTTACAGGAGGGCATATTTTACTAAAATGACAATTGAAAGAGCTGTATCCAAGATGCTCTTGCTTTAGATAAAAGAACTTCTGTAGAGGAATACATTTAGAAGTAAGTGCTTTTTCCTGTATGTTAATGAGGCATTTTTGATCCCATCTTTGCAAGAAATCAGCTCAATTTTCTAAAGTGTCTTTTACTCCCGCCTACTGCCTATGGAGCATGTTAAATAGACTGCATTAAAATGGTCCCCACTGCTCCTTTACCCACCATTTCAAATGCACCCTCCTGTTACTCTTTGTTACCCTTTGAACATGATTCATTCAGGGGCATACACTTTTTTCTTCCTGATGAACTCTGAGGTCAGGGAATTACAAATGTGGCATTAACTTCCCCTAAATGTTGGGTCTGTATAGGGATTAGTCCTATACATTTGATTTTTTCCTCATACATGTAAAAGTATAAATTTCTTGCAAAGTTGTCCATCTAGTTATTGTCTATATTCCTCTTATCAATTGTCTGTAAAAGAGCTATTAATATGTAGCATGCTCATTTTACATAAGTATTTAAATGAATAGGATTCTTTTTAAAATGGCCACTATCGGAGCATAATTATAGGAAGCTCTCATAATAAGTAAGAATAAAAAATAGAAACTTTAAAGCTGACAGAAACTTCCTGGCTTTCCTTCCCAAATATAGGCCACATAAAATAGATATAAAATCAAAGACAGCAAAGAAATTGAGTTCTTTGCTCAAATGTTTTCTAAAAATACAAGTACAAATCAACCAAAAAATCTAGTTGTAAGGCTACTACTGTTTTTCTTTTTTACTATACACGTTAGAAACGTGTCAATTCTATAAGGATCAAAAGATTTGGGAGCATAAGGCTGGATAGGCCTTAAGTAAGGGCTATATTTATATTGCAGACCATGTCCTTCCTACTAAAGAAAATTGACATGGCTGGTTTCATACATATGGTCCCTTTTAAATGTCATATTTGCTGATATGAAAAATATGCCAAAATGAACACTAGAATATTGATAATACTACTCTTTAAGGATCTTTATTCTTACTAAATTTTGTCTGAAAACCTAGTTCTCTGAAGAAGCCTAATTATTGAATTCTTCTGAAATTTCCTATTAGCTGTCCTTAGACTCATCTACTACTACTACTAGGTATTAAGTTGTCTTTATTACTAACATTTCAAGGGAGATTTAATAGTTGGAGCCAAACTTGTTACGATCCCTGAGGAGTGGAAAAACACATAAATCATTCTTTTATGTCATTAACTTCTGAATTGCAGAAACCCCTTCCAGTATTTATTAAATCTGGTTTCAATCAAGGTTAGTTGGCATTTCCTGGGCGGGGGGAATGGGCACTGCTTGGTGCCTGTGTGCATTAGGGAAGGAGGTGGTCATGCTAACGCTTCAAGGGAAATGAGGGCTAGCACTTGGAAGCCGAAGAAGAAGAGAGAGTCGAGTGTGAGAGTAGGAGACATGGAGAGAGAAGAGCACAATTTCTCGCTGGTATGTCTTTGTTTACTCTCACACCTTTCATGCCTCTTCTTATCCATTTTGGTTCCTCAAGCACAAGGGAGAAACTGCACTCTTTCTCATATTCCTCACGGTCAAATATTCTAATGGTAATGATCTTCCTGTGGGAACACAAGACAAAGGCAAAACAAATGGTTGGAGTCACACACTCATGCTAGGTGTTCACCAAGCTCAATGTCACTGTGATGTTATGGAGGGAGAACTGGCAACACATGGACCTCCTGAAGTATGTAAAAGGGCATCTTGGGTCCTCTCAGCCGGCCCCCATTTTCTTTGCTAATCTACCAGTTTTACAAAGTCTTCCTCCTTCAATTAGCAGTCAAGAGGTACCCTGAATTAGGAAGAGCAACCAGAAAGTTGGCTTCTCTTGACATAGCATCATCACCACCTTTCCCAGAACTGGAGGCTTGATTGACTGCACTGAACAGTTACATGTCAGACCTGTAATGTGCAAAGCAGCCCAAAATGGCTGATGGAGCACCGGGCCAGGCCTCCTGTGGCCCCTGCCGAGATCTATGCCCTGTTACATAGGTGGAAGGATGTGTGTGTTATAAGTCACGTTCTGAAGAGTGCAGGCATCCAGGGGTGGCACAGGCCAGCAGAAGCTGTTGGGCTCAGCCCTGGAGCAGCTCCCCCACCTTTCTTCTCACTCATCTCCACCAGGCAGGGCTCTCCAATTTCAAGGAAGAAGGTCTTGTTTTTCTCATACTCCTCATCATCAATTACCTTGACTGATATTGTTTTGCTGAAACAGAGAAGAATAGAAATTGACGAACAAGGGGAAGAAGCAAGAGAAGAGAAGGAACATAGAGAAGAGGAAAGCAAGGTTAATTTGAGCTGCTGTTCCAGACAAATGGCAACTGAGAAACTTCTGTACTGTGAACTTGTTCTTCCAGAATGGGTACAGGATAGGTATGAAAGACTGGAGAGCTTGCCCAATGCACAGCTCCCTGCCCAAGGCCACAGAATTATTTCAGGCAAAATATAGCACTCAGTACTAATAGATTTATCATCATCATGAGAGGAAAAGCAGAGAATAAAACACAGATCACAATCACAAGAAAAAAAATTTGTTTAGTAAACACCTTAATCAGAGGTAGGCTTATCTGAGCCGTGTCCTGGAATTCAGTCCTTTAGAACAAATCAGTAAATCACATCAAAATATTAACAGAGGTTATCTCTTCATAATAGGTCTTTTTTTTTTTTTGCCTTGCATTCTGCTTCACTGTATTTCCAAACATAATATTTTTATCATACAGTTTTTAAAAAAAGTATATAAGAGCATCATAGAAATAAAATAAAAGCCTTTTATCTTACCCTATCAAATGTCCTAGAATCAAACACTTACGCAGGTTAGTCAGATTTTCCACCCAAATCACAAGAGTAAGTTGTTCATGTTTTGTTTGTCTTTCTAAATACGGAAGCTGAAACCTCCCAATAGCTATTTGAAAGGTGGGGGATGGTGAGTCAAGATATTGTTTTCATCCTTCCCAAAGTTGAGTTTCAACTTAGACAAAATGCACCAGTTACACTGCTTTCAAACTCCACTGGTACACTAAGGCGTTCTGTTCAGAAGTCTTCTGTAATCCATCCTTTAGCACTTCTTGCCTTATGGTATCTCTAGTTGTGAGTGATTGACAGGTAGGACAAATGCAAATACTATGCAAATCTCAACTTCCCAGAAACCTTGATGACTTTGAAAGTAAATCTAATGTTACCTTATAATTAATAAGAACTTAATCATGTCATGTAATATAACTTACTCAGGACTAATGTGTTCATCCTCAAAAATATTTATTTTTCAGTAACATTGGGCAAGAACATTCCTGACTAAAATTTTTGAAACAATGGGTTTAAATAGACACACGATTTTAATATCATGGACATTATTTAGTTTCAGTGGGAGTTTCTAGGTCTTCTGGGAGGACATTAGTTTATACTTAAAAAAACTATTGATGAAGCTATCAAGTCTCTTTTAGACCTATGCATGCCAAAGAGCATCATTCTTCTTTCCTAGCATGAAGGAGGACAGAGGTAGAAGTTAATTTCAATTCTCTGCATTTCCAGCCCCAAATGCTAAATGCTTTAGTCTTACTTTCTTGGGTTAGTGTGGTAGAAGTGAGATCAAATGATTGTTTCTGGTCCGTTGGAGCCCATAACCAGCTCTCTGCTCCTCAGCTAAAGAATATTCCTGCACGATGCTCACATCCTAATTACTCACTACAAAGGAGCTGGAGCTCATGACAGTGCCTTTTCTATCCCAACTCTGTTCTCAAAGACTGAAACACTAAGACTAGATGAGCAACTGTAAATGACTGAAGCAATAATCTTTAAAGAGTAGTTGGATATTTACAAAACTACCTACAGTGTGACCAGATCCAACCACATGTATACAGTGAACAATTCTTGTCTAACTTTTAGATCTATTTTCTGGAATTTACTGATTTATTCATTATGTAAAAAAATCAGCCTGCCCTGACTAGACCAGGATATCTGATCTTTCCTCAATATCCCCGAATTACAAAATATTAGAGAAAGCAGAAGATGTAAGAAATGACAATACCTATGCTTTTTATTTCAGAACTGAATTTGATGTTAAAAGTAAAATCAAATTTACTTTACAAAAATCTGCCAACCATCTAGCCTCTTTGTCATCAAACTTATACATCTTAGGTATTAATTCCCATGTTACTTCCTTGTAATCATTAGCTATAGTTGTACATCTCTACTAAAGCAATCTGCATCACAAGACCACATGTGGGACAGTGTCGGTGGACATCAGAAGAGCCACGTCTTCTGGACCTGATGGCCCAACATTCATTATCAAGGCACTTCATGGCAGGGTGCATTAAATGAATGTAATGCTGCAATGCTCTTGCTTGTAGTTCTTAAAAAGTTCGGCTTAGCTTTCTCTATCTTGCACTCCTAACTGGTCCTGCATCTCAACACGTATTTGATTAGATTGTAGAAGTAAATGAAACACACTGGAGATGATTGGAGTAGCCTTGTAATAAGGTGAGTGTTTAGGAAAGGCTACCAGTTTCATTTTCAAAGAGCAACATGGCCATTTATTTGCAAATTAATAGAAACCACCAAATAACATGTTGTTTCTTGTCCTGGTAAATTTAATCCTCTCTTGCTGTAATAGCCTTACTCTCTATATACTGAGTAGCTGATGTATGTGAGAAACACAGGGTCCCACATAATATGTATAGTAAAATAAGCACTTAAAAATTATCATTAGAGTATCAGTAGTCATTAGGAATATAATCCTTAGAAAATGTTTCAGTATTTGTTAAGTATGACACTGGAAAATCAAAGTTGAAGAAAAAGAAAACAGCACCTCTATAGACTTGTGGCAGAAGCACCTAAAATAGATGGGATTTGCATAAGGGTACATTATTTCAAAATCACTAGTAATATAATCAGTAGTGCCCCTGACAGGATGAGCCATTAAATTATAAATTGGTTTTTCTCCCCTTGCATAGTAAAGCTATTACATAGGGAAGTTGATTTTTAAAGGCTATTTCAGTCAATTTAAAAAGGCAGAATGAAGTCAGTCCTTATGAATTCGCCCTCTGAATCAAGAGGCAAAAATCAGAAAGGATTGGGAATGTTCATCTTTTGCTTCAGAACAGAATTATTTCTTCCCCAGCAAAGGTAGCAAGGGTGAAATTAACCCATGTCATTTTTAAAGGAACATATGTTTGGATGTCTCTCCAGAGCCTAATGAGTGAAAGAGACTGTCATGACTTTCTGCATCCCAGGGGATGTTACTGGAGAAGGGGTTGATTTGGAGAAGCCTCCAGATAACACTAGCTTGATAATCAGCAGAAGCATTCCTCTGCTCTTCACAGTTCCTCAGTGGAAACAGAATCTCAATGACTGAAGGTCCTTAAAGGTCCTCTGCTTTACCCCCATTGCCAACCAACCCCATTTTCACAGGCTTTTGGCACTGTTACAAGAACTCCTGCTCCCTAAGAACATAGATTCATGTTTGCTATTCTTTCATTCTGTTTACTAATGGGAAGCAGTCAGATAGCCGTTGTTATTTCTTTAAATCGATCAATTTATTTTATTTTATTTTTTTAAATTAACCTTGTTTAGTTAGGTTAACCAAAACAAGACTGAAACCACTGGGTAGACACAGCCCTTTATCCAGTGATAACTCCTGTACAATTACTGCACTAATAAGGAACAAATAGAAAAATTGATGTCATGCAATTTTCTACTACCATAATTATTATGAAGAAGGTAAAGAGAATGTCTCATTTGATTTTTTTTTACCTCTCTTCTAAAGTTGAATAGTATTCTATAAAAATTATGTTTTCTGGAAATCCGCAAAGCAGTTACAAATCTTATGGTAACATTAAATAGCTTCTCAATACCAACATTTTCATGGAAATACATTTTAGTTCCAGTTCTAGAAGAGGACAAGCATTTGGTTAAGAAAAATCAATGTATTTAGTGGAAAAATACAGATTGTTCTTTTCTGTTTTTTGCTGTACCTTTCGTTTGATGGTACTAAACCAACATTTATACTTCTCAGTCTCTTAGCTGATGGGTCTCAAAGAACAGGAACACCTTCAAACATTCTAATGAGTTCTTAGATCAGGTGGTGACTCAGACAGCAGTGAAAAAGGGAAAAGGGTGGCTTTATTAGTGGGAACTGAAACAGAAAATCTCTTCAAAATGAATTTGAGTCTTTCATCATTAAGCCAAAGTAGGATCACATTTTCTTTTTCAATGTCAGACTCTCTTCGTCCTTCTGCAGCGTGTTCTCCCCAACACTGCCCTTGACATGGGAGAATTGAGAACACCAAGTTGGGGGATTAAAGAGAAGAGACTCTGCTTTCTAACTCCTCATATAAAAAAATTTTAGTGAAGATTTCACATATTTAGATACTGCAATGGCTCCTGTATTATTTATTTATTTATTCATTTTAAAAATTTAACCTCTCTCAGGCATAGTCAGAGGTCAGTGGACTGATGGACACTTTGCATTTCTTAATTGACCTACCTTCCTAACAGCCCTAGAAATAACTTCTACTACTTCAATTTATAGAAGAAATAATGACTCACAGAAGTTAAGTAACTTCCAGGGTCACAAAGTAAGACTCCTGTGACTGGCTCTAAAGACCAATACCTTTAAATTAGGTGGCCCACAAGGTCCCTTATTCATTGAGCAATACAGTGTTTTTATGACCACTTTAAAGGATCTGGATCATTATTTTAAATTAAAACAGAGGTTGATTGTTTTTTCTTTACATTAACAAAGACTACCTAGATGAGCAATGATGAAATTGCCCTTCTCTTTTTAAAAAGAGTGCAGCACATAACATATTTGATGATGGCTGTCTTAAAAAGCTAAATCATTGAGGAGATAAAGGTCCTATTAGGGTTAATAGAAAAGTGCCACGAACATGTAGGAACTCACCAATTCTGAGGATTTTGAGCAGCCAGCCTCACCTGGGGGCTTGTTAGAACTGCAGAATCATAGGGCTGACCCCCTTGACTAACCAGATAAGATGCATTTTCATGAGATCCCCAGATGATGCCTGTACAGTTAAAAGTTTGAGAAGAGCTGATCTGGACAGGACAATGGGTTATTTCATTAAGTCAGATAATGAATTAAGAGGCTGGTAATAGCTGGGCTTGTGTTTTGGAACTGTCCGCATATTAGAATCATGAGTGGAGCTTTGAAAACTTTCACTGGCTGGGCTGGGCCCACCCCAAATCAGTGAA